TTTGCCATTATAAGTTCCTGTAACATGTTGTTTGATAGCTCTAAACATTGCAACCTGATGTTATTTCTGTTATTATTTGCAATCTTGCCATGTGTGTTTGAGCATGTTCTAGTGATTTCTGGAGATAGCTCAATGTTCATGTTTTGTAATGCTTTACCTGTACATCACGCCCATGCCTTTTGTTTACTTGTTGAGGTCCTGTAGCATATTGTTTTGATGCTTGCAATGTGCCTAGTTGCTGTTTTGGACAGTTTGTCTCCTAAACTTGTATAGAGTGCATGTGTTGAACTATTGCTCCGTTTTGAGTGTGCTCTATAAGAAACTTGCTTAGATTCACATGTAGCTTCATATTATCATGTTGCATCCTTGTTTTGAGGTGTTTGCTTGATGTTTGTATGAATTTTGCATCAATGCCATGTTTAACTTGTTTTGCTCATATCTTCTAGGCCGTAGCTCCGAACTAAATGAAGTTTATATGTAACTTGACTAGAATCTCGTGTAGATCATCTTCGTGCATCTTAACTTGTTGTTTAACAACTTGAACATAAGGTTTATTCAGATCTGGACCAATTTCGAAATATGCATATGAGGACTTACCGGAATTGTTATATGTTGTTTCCGGCCTCATTTAAACTTGTCTTGATGTGTTGCTCTTGTTTGCATCATCTCTTGCCATGAGTAGCCTCGTCTAGTTTTGTCATGCATCACGCTTGTTGTGCATCATGTCATGTTCATGTGTGGTGTGTTTACCATATTGTGTGCTTCTTCTCGATAGTTCCCGTTTCATTGCGATCGTGAGGATTCGTTCGTCTACGCTTGGTTCGGCTTCATCCGTTCGTCTTCTTCATGGACTTGTTCTTCTTCCTTGCGGGACTTCACGCAAGATGACCGCTACCCTGAATCTCGTTACTATCATTGCTATGCTAGTTGCTTTGTTCTATCACTATGCTGCGTTACCTATCTTTTGCTCATCAAGCCATCCCAAATTGCCATGAACCTCTAACCTTTGACACCTTTCCTATGCAAACCATTGTTTGGCTATGTTACCGCTTTTGCTCAGCCCCTCTTATAGCGTTGTTAGTTGCAGGTGAAGTTGAAGATTGCTCCATGGTGGACATGATTTTGGTTGGGATATCACAATATCTCTTATATTATTAATGCATCTATATACTTGGTAAAGGGTGGAAGACTCGGCCTTATGCCTGGTGTTTTGCTCCACTCTTGCCGCCCTAGTTTCCGTCATACCGGTGTTATGTTCCCGGATTTTGCGTTCCTTACGTGGTCGGGTGATTTATGGGACCCCCTTGACAGTTCGCTTTGAATAAAACTCCTCCAGCAAGGCCCAACCTTGGTTTTACATTTGCCTCACCTAGCCTTTTTTTCCCTTGGTAGTCGCGCTCTCAAGGGTCATCTTTATATTATCCCCCCCGGGCCAGTGCTCGTCATGAGTGTTGGTCCAACCTGTCAGCCGCCGGTGGCCACCAGGGGCAACTCTGGGCTGGCCTACCGGAAGTTTGGACAATCCGGTGTGCCCTGAGAACGAGATATGTGTAGCGCCTATCAGGATTTGTCTGCACATTCGGGCGGCTTTGCTGGTCTTGTTTTACCATTGTCGAAATGTCTTGTAAACCGGGGTTCCGAGTCTGATCGGGTCTTCCTGGGAGAAGGTATATCCTTCGTTGATCGCAAGAGCTTATCATGGGCTAAGTTGGGACACCCCTGCAGGGTATAATCTTTCGAAAGCCATGCCTGCGGTTATAGGCAGATGGGAATTTGTTAATGTCCGGTTGTAGATAACTTGACACCAAATCCGAATTAAAACGCATCAACCGTGTGTGTAGCCGTGATGGTCTCTTTTCGGCGGAGTCCGGGAAGTGAACATGGTTTCTGGGTTATGTTTGACGTAAGCAGGAGTTCAGGATCACTTCTTGATCATTACTAGTCGACGACCGTTCCTTTTGCTCTCTTCTCGCTCTTATTTGCGTATGTTAGCCACCATATCATGCTTAGTCGCTGATGCAACCTCACCACTTTACCCCTTCCTTTCCTATTAAGCTTTGCTAGTCTTGATACCCATGGTAATGGGATTGGTGAGTCCTCGTGGCTCACAGATTACTACAACAACAGTTGCAGGTACAGGTTATCTGATGATCATGACGCGAGAGCGATGTTTGCTTGTTTTGGAGTTCTTCTTCTGCTTCTTCTTCGATCAGGGAATAGGTTCCAGGTCGGCAGCTTGGGTTAGTAGGGTGGATGTCGTTTGAGTTTCTGTTTATGTTTCATCCGTAGTCGGATGACGCTCTTATGTATTGTGATGTTGTATTCGTGTGGCATTGTATGCCTCTTGTATGTATCCCCATCTATTATGTAATGTTGGTGTAATGATATCCACCTTGCAAAAGCGTTTCAATATGCGGGTCTATCCTTGGTGGGACCTTCGAGTTCTTTTTGGATAGGGTCGCATATTGGGCGTGACACAGCGGGAACCCCGGCGGTGGCCGCTCGTACCAGGGCCTCGATATCTCCTGCCGCGCACCCTCGTCTCGGCGGCAAAGGACTAACCGCTTCTTCGACGGAAGCGGGTCAGGACCCTCTCGGGGGGCCTTTCCCTTCTCTTCTGCAGAGAACCGGCGGATGGGTGCCATCAGCGTGTGACGGAGCAACGACGAAGATGAAGAAGAGGAGGAGTAGCAGAGGAAGATGAACTGGAATGGCTCGCGCCGTTCCGTACTGATAGCCGGAGGAGGCCAACCGTCGGCCTCCAGGATCGCAGGTAATCATGACCCGTTTTTGCATGCAGGGACTTGTCAAGTTGTGCGGTTGCCGAGGCATCATGGGGAAGCGGAGACGCCCACGTCCAATCAACCGCCACGCGGCGCCCAAGGCCGCATGCTGTTGGGGCCCGCGGCGCTTCGCACTTGCCCCTTCGCTTCTCTGCTAAGCCAAGTCCGGGCGCGCCTTGGACCCGGGGGCTACTGTCGGTGTTCTGGGAACGGGGGGTCCCCAGACTTGCCTGCCTGCGGCCTGCAGCGTGGCTCAAGTGGGGGCCCAATGCAGCCCGGCTCCATCAATTCAAGCTCAAGACCCTCGCGAGGGGCCAAGCCTCGCGGGGCGGACGACAGGGAGCTTCCTTAGGAGCAGACTCCTCGGGCAGGCTCGCAAGGTGGCGGAGAGATCAAGGCAAGACACCTCCCGAGGGGCCCGTGACGCAAGCCATGATGATCGAGGACCAGGCGGCGCCGGCCTGCGCAGTGTCCTTGTTTCCCTTTCAAGGCAAAGGGGGGCAAGCACAGGTCAAGGCATCAGGCAAAGGTTACCGTTTCGGTGCAACAAGACCAAGACCAGCAGAACGGCAGGATGGAGGTCATCGTGGAGCCCAGGGCGGCGTCACCATCATGACCTTTGGCAGCCGAAGACCAACTTTAGTCAGGATAAGTGTACCAGATGTTCCCCTTCAAAATGGCCAATTGTTGGCACCCTTCCCGCTCATTATTTGGGGAGAGGCTCAGGGCCTCGCTCTATAAATAGGACTAGCCACCACAATCGAAAGATCATCGAGAGATCGACCAGAGAGAAAGAGAAGCGACTGAACTCACCCAAGCAGTTCATCGCACCAGCTCAAGAACAGCCCCTCGCGAGGCTATTCTCCCTTTGTACTGTTCATCATCAGCCCCTGAGGCAATCCACCACAGCACACACTGGAGTAGGGTATTACACCACAATGATGGCCTGAACCAGTATAAATCTCGTGTCCCTTGTGTGTTCATCTTTCTTGCTTAGATCTTTGCGAGACTTCGAGACGTGAGGTGGTAGGGGAGAGATCTTCGTGCGCACCCCAGTGTTCGAACCTTAAGGGTCTGCCGGAACCCGAAATCCGACAAAACCAAACTGATTTTTGGTCACGCTTGTCATTCTTCTTAAGCGGTGCTCTATAACTCTCTCCCATAGCTTCATCATATGGCTCATCAGCCAAATTCCACAGTAATTAGTACAACTCTGAACATCCCCCTTGTTCTTGAATATTGGTACTAATATACTCTGTCTCCATTCTTCTGGCATCTTGTTTGCCCGAAAAATGAGGTTGAAAAGTTTAGTTAGCCATACTATCACTATGTCCCCGAAGCCTTTCCACACCTCAATGGGGATACAATCAGGGCCCATCAACTTGCCTCCTTTCATCCTTTTCCATTCCCACTTTAGACAAGAAAACTATGCACTGAGAAAAGGCAGTTTTGTTTCCCTTGGTTCAGGAAACAACACATAATTTTATTTTGACTAATTCTCAAATGGATCAAATATTTCAATGATATGCAATTTAGCCATGAATATTGTGCGCAAACTAAACATCTTTTAACTGGACTATCTTAAAGAGACTGAATCTCGGGTTTCCTGCAGCTTTGGCGGCCGCTTAGCCGTCTCCTGGAGCGCGACGCCATCTCCGCCTTCATCGCCGACCTCCGCTCGATGGCCGTCCGCCTGTCGCCGCCGCCGCCGCCCCCTCCGCCGGAGCCTGACTAGTCCCCTGCGTGGGTCTCTCGCCCGGCCTCGCCCGGTTTCCTTTTCTGTTTCTTTGGGCTTGTTGAGTTGTGCCCTCAGCAGTACCTTATGACTTTGTTGTGCTACTTGGGTGTGTGTGTCTGAACCTGTTGGGGTTGTGTGTTTTGTGGCGGTGTGCTTTATCTATAAAGCGGGGCGAAAGCCTTTTTCGGTAAAGAGACTGAAAAGAGAGCGCCCATATGAGAATATGCCCATATGAGAATAACAGAAGTGGTTAACGGGACAGCTGCACTATGTTACGAGTCCTCAAACACAAGGATGGACAAAAGCACGAGGATTTCCCAAATAATGCAACACTAGCTCACCACATGCAAAATATAATCTTTGACGATGCTTTGTCATGAGAACAAAATATAACAGTGAAAAGCAAAGAAGTATATATCCATTGTGAATTCAAATTGGTGGTATTGTAAGAAACCTCGCAGTAGTGTCAAAAGAGGTACTCAGTATCTGAGTTCCATCACGTGAAAATGTAACACTTGTAACACCTTTGCGTGTGAACGCTCGAGGTGTCGCAAGCACTGGCCAGTTCGTATACGCCAAACCTGAGAATCAGTGAAAAGAAACAGTTAAATACGGCAATGCAATTCTTCTCTCACAAACAGACTGAATGGCTGGTGAAATAATGACCCATAATGAAGGTCTAAGAAATTAGTTGGCCACGTGTATTGACTAATGATGTACTTTTACCAACTGATGATTGTGTGGTCGAACATGATTAGATGACCAATGATACCATGCATAAATGTACTCAATATGACTTCACTCCACAGGAGGAAGAAAAAATATAGCAATTAACACATGCCGGCACGTTAATCAATCAGAACTGTAAAGAGGTCAGGCTTTGTCTCTGAGCAAACACACTTACAAGCAGTTCACATGACTACAAACACCGTGACCACTCGGAACAGTGAACTTGCAATAAATATTGCCAAGGGAGAGGGGGTGTGGCGGCATGGGGGAGAGAACAATGAGAGTACCTTAATTTTTCTATCCTGTGATCCAGATGCCAGCATCTCAGAATCTCTACTAAAATCAACACAGAGCAGAGCATCCTCGTGCATCATAAAGCTTTCCTGGAAAGTATTTTCAAACAAACGTTATGCAGAACCTAACAATCTTGTCAGTATCTAAATCAAATAACACGACTTATTGATGTCCCTCAAAAGTTATTGATCTTGAATAGCTTGGCTACATGCACAATTACAGGGTTCATGTAAATTCCATGTTAAAGGCGAAAAGCTCCAATACTAGGGCCTTACATCGGCTTGATATTGAAGATCCTTTTTCAGCTTGCCGCTGACATAATGCCAGACCTGAAAATGTTAATGAAATTTAGCCATGTACGACAGAAGAGCTAACCTGTAAAACACACTAGCAACCAACTTACTTCGATGATTCCATCCACTGAGCATGAAACAAGGTACTGGCCATCGGGTGAGAATCGAGCACACTCAGGGTGGGTTTTCTTCCCGAACTGAAATAAAAAACAAAATGTCAAGTTGTAACCATGAGGAAAAGCCTGAGAACAGCAATTCTCCAGGCAGGCATGTGTTTCTATATCCTCCTTTCAGCATGGAAGTGAAGATGGTAGAATCCTTAACTACATCTTAAAGCATGTTGACATGTCCTAGTGTGTTTTGCATCGATATTTTCCAACGAATTTTGGGACCACCATAATGTCCCAATGAAAGTCAGAGTCACATGCAATTAAGCCAACGCAAAAAATATCATTAATTAGTTGTGTCAATATTCTTCTGCTGTCAACTTAAGTAAGAAATCATCATTTTAGGCTTCTGAAAGACATTGATATCAATTATCAAATATGTTTATCATTAATTTATCTTCTGCAGTTTCCAAAAATCCTGCGTGTACATGAAAAGCCAATGTAAGCTCGCTGATACAGCCACAAGATAACCTTTATTTGATGTGACAAAGTAGTAGGATATGCCTCTTCTTCGTCTTGCTTCATTGCAGCGGTTCCTCTGAACAAATCAAACTGTGTGCCAGGGGGTAACAAACCTATGCAAGAGGAACGAAAAAGGAGCTAGGATGAGTTCGCAATTGGCAATTCGGGGATCATCACAGTATCACAGGTTAAAAACGTGAGTACCTTGGTGCTGTTGCCATTTCAAAGCCTGGGTAATCAGTGCCATTAGCCGAGCTGGTGGGACTACTGAAACTTAAGCAATTGCTGACATCAGCAAGGCAGGTGAAGCGTTAGTATTAAGGATCAGAAAGGCAGAACTTCAATTGCGGCTATTATTGCAAAAGTAGGACACATGTCTATGAGCATTGTACAACTTTAAATCATCAATTAATAAGTCCCTCGTATTCAACAGCACATGGAACAATAAAACTTATAATTTTAAAAAATGTTCAAGAAAAATATTCCCTCCATGGCTCCGTTTCCAAAATATAAGGTGTGTTATTGGAAAAGTCAAGTTTCTCTATGTTTGACCAATCTTATAGAGAAAATATCAATATCCACAATACAGCATAATTAAGTTCATCATGATATATATAATTTATATTTTATTTATTTGGTACTGTAGATATTGATATATTTCTCTAATCTCTACTTAAGTTGGTAAAACATAGAAACATTTGACTTTTTGAAAAAAATCAGTACACCTTATATTTTGGAACACAGGAATTATGTTACATTCTGAAAGTGTAGCATATCTCAGAATCAAGAAGCACTCAAACTTCTCTACTAAGTACGAGAATCATTAACATATATGCCTCAAGAAAAGACAATCAACAGCCTAACCTTGGGCAATCTGCGCACGTCGCTTTTCCTTGGTAGATTCTTGGTAAGCCTGTTGGCAGAGTGACATCCCAGCATTTCACAGTTAAGAACAATGGCACAACAAATTAACAATAACTAAATAGCAAAGCAGGCTACCAACCTCATTCGGGTCAAAGTATGTCCGGACAAGGAGGTGCTCTTGTCGGAGTGTCGGAGTAATGGGCTACGGGTAGGCTAACCCGAGTCCCAGAACCTTTCAAAACATCGGGGCCGACTGCGCCCCTCAAGACCCCACGATGAAGAGCCGCCTCCTGGGAGGCGGCGGCGGCTGTCCCTCACAGCCGAGTCCCAGGGACGGCTTCGAGTTAAGCCGACTTTTGACTGGCGACTTCGAGACAAACCGACTCTTGGCTGGCGACTTCAAGATAAGACGACTATGGGAGTCGGCCCGCGACTCCAACCATCTCCTGCCTTCGCCACGATGGCGGGGCGGGGTACGGCCATTGCGTGGCCGTCTCTACCCTGCCTACGAGGGGCTGGCATGGCTACAATGCGCCGTATCGCTGGAGATCTCCATCGTGGCGCGGCACTGTTGCCATGCCTGCCCTGACCTCAGCCTCAGTGGGCGGCGCAGTGTGCCCACGACGGCTACCTATACGGCCCAGAGACGGCGGGACCACCCGTCAGCGGGAGAACAGAAGACGGCGAGAGCGCCCCGAAGGCGGACCCGTGGGAGTCGACCCCTTGGAGTCGGCCGGCCCCTCCCACGGGCCCCGCACGCCATTAACCAGACAAGACGGGGAATGGCGACAGTGATCGTCTGCCAGACGGCGGCACTGTTGCCATGACCCCATGACCGAGCCAGCGTCATCAGAAGCACCGCTACAGTACCAGGCCTGTCAGCGGGGCCCGCCAGTCGGCGGGCCCCAGTAGTCGGCGGAGAAGACGGCGGTCTGAGAGACAGACGGCTGGGACCCGCACCCAGCCGGATTACCATTGTATCCCTGAGGGGGCAGGCCTATATAAGCCCCCCGGGGCATCCATGCAAGGGGGATAGCCTCTCTACTATTAGACCGATCATATAGGAAGGAGGGAGCTAGCCTTGCCCTCTCCAACCTCCAGAAAACAGCTCTAGGAGCAACCTTGTAGTCACTTTGCCATAGTGATCATGTGGAGACCCCGCAGAGCAGCAGTAGGGGTGTTATCTCATCGGAGAGCCCTGAAGCTGGGTAAGATCCGCCGGCGTGCATGTCTTCGCCTCATCCCGCTTCCGGGCACCTGCGACGTTCTACTCGCTCCCACCATGATAAGCCATCCTTTGGCATATGTCGTACCCAACCCCTGACATTTGGCACCCACTGTGGGGCGAGGTGCACCATCGTCCGGAGACCTGCTCTGGACGGGAACCCTGTTCCTCCCTGTTGAGCACAGCCAGCCCGGCACGCCAGACGAAGTCTGCGCCGACGCACTGCATGGCGCTGAGATCGCCTCCGCAGCCAGCTGCCTCGCCGAACTTGTCGGCGAGGTTTGCCTCTCCGACGAGCCTGCATCCGACGCAGGCACGGGTGGCCCCGAGAGCCTCCTCGCGGGCCTCCTCGACCAACTCCACGTCGCCAGCGAGCCTGCTGTAGACCTGGAGTCCATAGGCTCCACCGACCTGATGCTGGTCGACTCCGATACCGCGTCGCTCGACGCGTTCCCCACCAACGTGGTGGTCTACGACGAGCCGCTCCCTTGCGTAGGGAGCGGCGGAAGCACCGTCACGGAGGTTCTCGTCCTTGACCATGGCGAGCGCTCCGGCGAAGGCGTTCACGACCCGCTCGACGCGGCTCTACGAGACCTGTCCGCACCGATTCCGGGGGACGCTGACGCCGAGACGCTGGAGGCGCGCCGCCTTCAGCTTATCGAGGGCGCGAAGAAGCTGGCAAGCATGAGACGCTTGTCAGAAGCCTACCAACGCGAGATGGATTGCGCCGTGGGCGGCTCGCCGGCTCCGACTGGGCCTAGCCGCCTAGGCGTGGTCCGACAATGCGGCGTGGCAATCGCCAACCTGTTTGGGGCCGATCGCCCTGTGTATGCCACGCCTGCGGAGAACATCCGCACCGCCCAAGCGGCGGCGGACGAGCTCGACAACTTCGAGGGCGAAGAGCGCCGCTTGATGACGGAGCGAGTTCAGTAGCTCCTCGACGCGGCTGCCGCGCAGAACAAAGCCGGCTGCCGCATGGAGGCGCCGCGGCGACAAAACGACGACCCGCCGCCCCGCCGAGACCAAGGCGCAACGTCTCGAACACCGACTGGCGGAGTCCGCGGAAAGAAAGACAAGGAGCCGGCTGTCAGCCACAGTCGGACTCGCATCACCATCGAGCGCAACCAAGACGGCCGCCGCAAAGCGGTGGAACGGCGGGACGACTATCTGCCTCCCCCTCCTCGCAGAGAAAGGCGAGTCTCCCCACCACCCGTAGAGCATCCGACTCTCGGCGACCGCCTTGGCCGCCGAGAAGGAGTCGGAGAGAATGACGCCCGCCACCGGATCGATCGACTCCACCGATCCCTGGCACTGGAAGAAGAAGATGAGTTGGGTCCTCCCTGTTTCGGACCCCGCATCCAAGATGAGCCCTTTCCCAAAGGGTTCACGCTCCCCCGAGACATGCCCAAGTACACCGGCACCGTGAAGCCGGAGGACTGGCTGATGATTACTCCATGGCCGTCAATATAGCGAACGGCAACAAGCGTGTTGCCGTAAGGTATGTTCCGCTCATGCTCCACGGCACGGCCCGGACATGGTTGAACAGCCTGAAGCCCCGCAGCATCAACAGCTGGGTCGACTTCACCGAGGCCTTCGTCCGCAACTTCACGAGCACGTACAAGCGACCTCCCAAGCCTCGCTAACTCTCCTTGTGCGTGCAAGGCCCCGACGATTCCACTCGCGACTGCCTCACGTGCTGGGCTGAGCTTCGAAACTCTTGCGAGGGCGTGCACGAGGTGCAGGCTATCGAGTACTTTACTGCCCGGTGCAGAGAAGGCACCCTCCTCAAGCACAAGCTCCTCTGCGACGAACCGGAGACCCTCGATGAGTTGCTAGTCACAGCAGACAAGTACGCCACAGCCGACTCCTCCATGAAGGCGGAGATTCAAGTTAGTGCAACTGGCAAAGTAGCCCCTCAGGCTCCAAGAACTCCGGCTGGGGACACCAGTCGGCGGCAGCAGCAAAGCGACCACAAGCGCAAAGCCCCACAGTCGGCTTCCAACAGCCGGCAAGTGGCGACAGTCGAAGACCAACAGCCGGAGGGGCAGCCTCCGACCAAGCGACAGAAAGGCGACAAGTCCAAATGGTTGCCGGCCTTCTCCTACGAGCAGACTCTAGATTGCCCCTGCAAGTTCCACAGCGGCGCGAAGCCGTCAAATCACACTACCCGAAAATGCCACTGGCTCACCAGAATCGCCAAGGGAGACGGCCTACTCCCTCCCCCGCCTGCTGGGCCGCCGCCTCCACCGCCGCCCCAGCAGCCGGCTGTCAGGCCAGTCGGCGCGATACAAGACGAGTACCCAGATGAGCACGGAGCCTATGTGCTGTTCACCAGTGTGGTTGACGATCGATGCAGCAGGCGGCTGCAGTAGCAAGAGGTGAACGCAGTCGCGTCAAGCACTCCAGAGTTCATGCACTGGTCCGAAAAGCCTATCAGTTGGAGCAGAGCTGATCACCCAGAGGTGATGCCGAGTCCAGGGTCCTACGCCCTGGTCTTAGGCGCCACACTCGCCACAGATAGGCGGGCCGCTCGCTTCTCGCGAGTACTGATAGACGGAGGCAGCAGTATCAACATCCTGTACAAGGATACCATGGAGAAGTTAGGAATCAAGCAAAGACAGCTTCAGAGCAGCCGGACTATGTTCCACGGCATTGTTCCCGGCCTTTCCTGCTCACCAATCGGCAAGATCCTGATAGACGTCCTCTTTGGGGACAAAGATCATTTCCGCGAGAGCCAGTTTGGTTTGAAGTGGTGGACCTCGAAAGCCCGTACCATGCGTTTCTTGGCCGACCTGCTTTGGCCAAATTCATGGCGGTCCCCCACTACGCCTACCTCAAGATGAAGATGCCGAGTTCCAAGGGGATTCTAACCGTAGCCAGCGACTACAGAAAGTCGTCCGCCTGCGCGGCCGAAAGCAGTCGGCTGGCTGAGTCCTTGGTGATCGCAGCTGCGAAGCGGCTTCTTGATCGGGTT